CTTCCTCTAAAACAGACTTTAATCGCTGCTCTCTTTCACCCACTTATTCTATTGCACTCTAGTTTTCCTCTGAAGTTATTGGGTTCTTGGTCGGCTGAAAGTCAAGGCCACCGTGATTGGTTCATTGACTTCCTCCGGTGCAAGTAATGCTCGGAGCTCTTTCGAAGCTCTTTTGAACTCTGAACCACCAGATTTTGGGGTTCTCACTATTCTCTCTTGACTGCTGCTATTTGAGCCATTGGTGAAGCTCTAATCTTTCTCATTTTTACTCGTTAACTTGCAACTGATTAGTGTTCTTGACCCTTGCAATTTTTATTCTTGGTCAATTTGTGTGTGTTCTGTGTGCCATTACCATATGAACTTTATGAAAAAGCATGATCTAGTCACCCATGCACTCTGAATTTTAAAATGGTGCTATCGTTGTATGCTCTATTGTCCTAATGTTATTCTACAGTTCTATGTTCTCTAGTATCAAATTTGTCTAAGTCTAAAACTTCTAAGATACGCTCCAACACATGTAGTTTACTCTCCTTATGTGCAGTTAACCTGAATAACTTCTGACCTTCTTAGGTGTTGCCTGATTTTTATGTTTATGTTGACCCTGAATTTATTTTTTTGTCTGTCATGAGTTCATGCCTTGCTTTAAATTTTGTATTGAGACCTCGTGTGAAGACTTGTATTTTCCCAGAATCTCGAATATGCTAAGTCTCTCATGTTTGTAGCTAAGTGAATACCTGCTAAATATTTTGAACCATGACTACCAGTTTGTTTGCTCTAAACTTTCATAATAGGAACTCTTGTTTGACTACAAAGACTAGTTGTGATCATGTCTTCCTTAGATTTCCATGTTAAGCCATTCGTGTATAAACTGCTACTTGCTAGTGTTCATGACCATGCATGTCCTGAACTTTCATGCTTAGTTCTTTTTCTGTAAAAGACTTGTTTGTCGGATACTTTGCAATTGAGCCCTACTTATCCTAGGAAGTCCATCTTTATGATGTTATCACTTTAAACCTGTTTGCTAACTTGGGAAGTTACTGTATGTGCTCATTCTGTGTGTTTGCAAGAGTCTTTATGTTACTTTCGAATGTGTTCGTGTGCTCTTTCACCTATTACACATCACCCCCCCACCCCCCAAGATGATTATTTAGAAATTCTTGCTATTGGTAATTGCAATACTAAAAATCCATGTGTATGTGTTCTTACCTAAATTCAAAGTCATCTGAATGACGTGTTTGCACTTATGTTCCCTGTATTCCTGTTGGTTGTTAATGGGTAAACACTACAAAAAAATATTGATATTGCGGCGGTTATTTTTATGTTTAGCAGTAGTTTTTAACCGCCATAATACGCACTAACGGCGGTTTTCAAAATCGCCATAATCACGTCCGCCACAAGTTTATTACGACGGTTTCGCACAACCGCCGCAATTGTATGGTGCTTAAAATGGCGGTTTTCTATTTGCATACTATGGCAATTTGAACTGCCGCAATTGCAGTCTCACTTGTGAGAAATTAGGCCACAATGTTTTGCATAAACTGGCAGCTTTAATTGGTATGAATCATGATTATAATTGCTGTAATTTTATTTATTTATTTTTATAATTTTTTTCTTTCACATTTACCTCCTATAATGCTTTGTTACAATTTTGACATACAAGATAAAATAACCAAAATATTCATTTAAAAAAATTATTCCAATAGTACATCAAATGTATTAATATTATGAAGATATTTCAACTGAACCCAAAAAGATAGTCAATTCTAGCAACAATTATTAATGAGCAGTCCTAGATATAATATGCATTGTTATTTCTACATGAAGATCTCTTGGCCTATGGAGCACCACTTCCTAAATCTGGAGCCTACAAAAAAGATGCGACAGAAAATAAGTGACTAAATGTATTGTTTAGCAATAGTATTTTCTAAGGCTTCATAAGGTTTGTCAGAAAACACAATAGAACAAGCAATGTCCTAAATCGAAGCTAGAAGTATCACAGAATAACAGAGTGTATCAACCAAGTACATTTAAGGAAAAAAGATGATAAAGTGAGAATCAAAGCAAAGTCAGCAAATTTCCAAAAGTCAGCGAAGAGCAAGTCTAAAAATTTCACAGATGTAGTTCACAAAATCAAATTTCATTTGGTTAACAATTCAGATTTTATCATACTTTTGTATTCTAAGTTTTGTTAAATTTAAAAACTGGTATCTTCAGATTCACTTTTGTATTCTAAGTTTTGTTAAATTTAAAAACTGGTATATTCAGATTCACAACAGGTCACCAATATCAGGCGCGCCTAAATCTCCAATCTCTCCAATGATATTACTGAGTTGCCTTTCCATATTCAACTTCTCCTTATGCTTAAAGTGCTCGCTGCTAAGGCATTATAATTGGTTAACAAAAGTATCACCTTTTGATTGAAAAGGTCAAAAACTCAATATACTCTTATAAGCACGCTCTTACGTATATTAAAATCATTTAGGTTCGTTCTTCAGAGAATATAAAAGAGACTGCAGGAAGCTTAACTGGTGTGAATCTAAGAAGTTAAGTAAACAAACAAGAACATGATAACTTGATATAAAGACAAAATATTAAGAATTAAAACTCACCTTATGACCTTCTTCAATATAGAATAGAACTCCTTTTACCTTTTGCAAGACATGTAATACTCAGATTAGAGATCATGCCCTTTTTTTATAAGTAAAATAAATAGATTAGAGATCACGTCATAGTACTTTCTCTCCACACACCTCAAGAAAATTACTTGAACCTCTAGCTGAGTATCAAACCTTAAAATTTTAGGCTCTATGTAAAAATTTCAGAACAAAATGATAATTATACATTCTGAGTCTTTAGTCTCTAAAGCATATCTCTTTAGGTAACTTAGCTCTCTAAAAGAATGATAATTTTGGTTCAACACCAAAATAATAAGGCCGTAGAGCCTCTGAACCGAGTAAACAAATCATAACATGGTCTAACTTTCTTAACAAGTCCTATTTTGTCTACAAAATAAAGATATAGAAACACTTCCAAAAAGCTATTGTCACGTCACGTGAAACAAAAACATAAAGAAAATATGTTATTTCACATACTTTCATAGGTCTCTTTGTACATGTCTATCATGCGAGAAACCAATTCATATCTTCAGTTTATAGGCTCAAGCTCATGCATGATTATGAAGCGAAGACCTCTTTTGTGTAAGAGGCTTAGAGCCTCTAAACTTGTCCAGTCGTAGTAAATTAAACCTATATTTAGAAGACTGATTACTCAAAAGTATAACAAACACCAAAAAGCAATGAGGATTTATCAAAATAAGATATGATTTATCAATAAAACTAGACAACTCCATGTATTAACCTTGATCGGGGAATACTCAAGTAGGTAAATCTCAGAAGAAGTACCACTAGTCAAAACAAATATGCTGCAGAACTTCATAGAAGAAATATTAAAAGTCATACACAAATCTGAAGGAAGATATAATTCCTGCATTCTTTCGTAGTTCGAAAAGTTTTTATTTACAATAGCAATTCCAATCTCTACATAATGGTAAAAGAGAAGCTCATTGAGTATCAACACGGAGGTCCTTTCCTATACAAAAAGCCCACTAACATATGGGCAAGCAAAGTTAGCCTACGCAAAAGAGATATAATATGAGTGTTTTATTTTTTTAGATGCATATCTGAGTGTTCATTATACAGTGAACTGTTCAAAAAACACCAAACAAAATCAGTGCAGCAAAGTTTGCAATGGCTAGTTAAAAGCTAAGAAAGATTGCAATAATATTGCAACAATACTACAACTAATGTAAGAAGACCAATTCAATCCTTCAGCAACAGAATTCCATAGCTCATATAAGAATATATAGCAGCAGTAAATGACCATGAAACACCACTCCCCACACAGCTCTTGATGTAATCAATCAACTAAGCCTCAAAGCCTAACTAGTTAGGACCATTATACTATCCTCTGCACACAGATTCTGCTCTATGCCTACTAATCTATCTTTGAATGACCAGCTAAGGGTACTCAATTCTCTCAACCCTACACTGACAAACATGTCCCAACCAAACCAAAAACATTTCTAAGAAAATAACGATACAATCCTAACAATAACTGATATATAAAATCTTTGAAAGCAAGCAGCTAAGCATAGATCTAATGATCACAGTGACAAAGCATAGCAACACAACAAAAAAATCACAGATCCACATAAATATATATACATATAAGCAAAAAGAAGAGAAAATTAGGGAGTACCTAGGTGAACTTGATCCACATTTATCAAAAGCACGACGGAGATTAGCGAACTCCTCACGAGCTTCATCGGATACCTGACAAAAAAAGGAGAAAGAAAGGAGAGAAGATGGAGTTGCCGGCTACGACGATCTGGCGAAACGCCGCTGACGGCTTGGCCCAGATTGGTGCGAGGGAGAGAGGCAAATAGGAGAGTAGGGTTTTTTAGGGTCGGAGAGTTCTGATATCTAAGAGTTAGATGTATTGACCTTTTCTAGATAAACCAAAAACTATCTTACAATTGAAATATAAATAGTTGCCATTTAAATCGCCGTATTTTCACTTTATAACTGTGTGGTGTGGTGTTGTGAAGATGGCCGTAATTAGTTGTGTATTGCGGCGGTTTTACCTAATAAAACCGTCGCAATTTCACGGATATTTTTATAGTGAAGCAATACGTTTGCTTCTATGTTTGGGCCTGGTCTGTTGACCATGTTTGTTGTTGGATCTGAACACAGAATCCAAGTGTGCTCTATCCACCCTTGTGCACCTGGAATTTGGGCATATTGGTTTACATGAAGATCGAGGCTGGTGAATGCACAGATGCATCATTGGGTTACTTTGTATTTTTAATTGGGCCTGTAATTATTTTATTTGGGCCTGTAATAATTTGTAAGAACAAACGCTGGAAAATTAGTGAAAAGGGGTTGGGATACTCTAATTTTCGTATAAACGGGTAGAAAGCATGCCTATAGGGTCAAATGATCTTATTTGCTACTTGTTCGTCATGCTTTATGTCTGTGCACTACTTGACGATATACAACATGCCTATAGGCCCTTAACCTCGCATATCCATTTAAAAATCATGATTTAGGACTCTAATTAACTGTTAATATTGATGCTACCAACATGACTCATAACTTTTCTAGAAAGCATGTCTACAGGATCCCGACCTCGTTTGCTATTTGTTCATCTTGTCTTATTTATGTGCCGTACTTGCTAACAAACAATATGCCTATAGGACCCCATGTTAGTAACTGAAATTGTTTTCCTTCAACTGTGCTCTTTACATTCATCCGCCTAGAGATCATGACTATAAGGTTTGCAAATAAGAATTCGCCACTATTGTTTTGTCTAAAAACAGTCTAAACCTGATCGTTTAAAAATATTGCCTATAGGACTCAAAATGATGCAGTCTGCCCATTTGACAATCCATGTATGAATCCTGTACCTAATTAATTGCAACTGGTCATCCGCGCATTCACATAGAAACTATGTCTTAAGACTGACTAATCAAAATGCAGTATTCTGTAACTGCCCGTCTTAATTTACAATCAGAAGAGCATGTTCATAGGGTATTCACCTAACTATACTGCCATTACCCACCACCGTTAATTGTTATCCTCTTGACGTTCATGCAAGTCTATTTGTTGAGGTAAACACGAGCCCTTTGTGCTAATTGCATCTTTACATGAAGTCCTATTTGTTTCAACTATGTGGTGCCTAGTTTTTTCTAATTTTGAGCAGCCTAGATCGAGTCTAGAACCACCTATATAGTGGTCCAATGCCTCCTGGGTCATAGGCATGGGACGGGTAGGAATGTGTAGGGCACGACTTAGAATTGAACTAGTGGGCTTTAGGTAAACAACTTAAAGATAGTAATCGGGTAGCAGGAGATGATAATCTATGCTCGCTGGATAATATAAGCAACTTTTGTACTCCAAAGGGTTGCGAAGTATTATTTATATTGCACGGGGTGATCCTTTAGGCTAAAAATTTTAGGACCCCACCCTCCCCCC